AAATAATCTCTTGGCCAATCTGGACTTCGAAACCCTGCCTCGCCCAGTTAACGCCTCACAGCCATCAGTGCCGGATTATATGTTCCGTCTATACCAACATCTTAAAGTGGACAAAGTCCAACAGAGAGGGTTTCAGCCTCCTGACACTACCCATTCGGAGGACACAGGTGATATAATTCACGAGACAATCAGAGGATACCATGTAATATCAGGTAAGACAACATTTATTTCTCTTTTGCTGTATATATTTTATTTAATTTGGCGCCGAAATGATCATGTTTCCTCGAGCTTGACTGCAGAAAAGTTTGCCCGTAACTTCTTTATTACTGAAATTTAATCTGATCAAATATTTACATTACTCATCTTCATTGCCATATTCACAACGTTTCGGTCTCTATATCCTTGAGATGAGGTATTATCATTACTTCATTATTTACATTATTCGGACTGTTATCCTCATCTTTATTCCCACATTCACAATGTTTCGGCCTCTATATCCTTGAGATGAGGTATTATCATTACTTGCATTGTTTACATTCATTACCTCTCTATAGTGCAACCGGCGACTGAAAATGCATGACTTTTAAACTCTACAAAAAATTACCTCTCTATAGTGCAACCGGCGACTGAAAATGCATGACTTTTAAACTCTACAAAAAATTACTTCTCTCTAGTGCAACCGGCCACTGAAAATGCATGACTTTTAACCTCTACAAAAAAATTACGTCTCTATAGTGTAACCGGTCACTGAAAATGCATGACTTTTAACCTCTACAAAAAATTACCTCTCTATAGTGCAACCGGCCACCGAAAATGAATGACTTTTAAACTCTACAAAAAATTATCTCTCTATAGTACAACCGGTCACTGAAAATGCATGACATTTAACCTCTACAAAAAATTACCTCTCTATAGTGCGACCGGTCACTGAAAATGCATGACTTTTAATCTCTACAAAAAATTACCTCCCTATAGTGCAACCGGTCACTGAAAAAGATTGACTTTTAACCTCTACAAAAAATTACCTCTCTATAGTGCAACCGACCACTGCAAATGCATGACTTTTAACATCTTCAAAGAATTACCTCTCTATAGTGCAACCGGCCACTGCAAATGCATGACTTTTAACCTCTACAAAAAATTACCTCTCTATAGTGCAACCGGTCACTGAAAAAGATTGACTTTTAACCTCTACAAAAAATTAGCTCTCTATAGTGCAACCGGTCACTGAAAAGGCATGACTTTTAACCTCTACAAAAAATTACCTCTCTATAGTGCTGGTCACTGAAAACGCATGACGTTTAACCTCTACAAAATATTACCTCTCTATAGTGCGACCGGTCACTGAAAATGCATGACTTTAACCTCTACAAAAAATTACCTCCATATAGTGCAACCGGTCACTGAAAAAGATTCACTTTTAACCTCTACAAAAAATTACCTCTCTATAGTGCAACCGGTCACTGAAAATGCATGACTTTTAACATCTTCAAAAATTACCTCCCTATAGTGCAACCGGTCACTGAAAAAGATTGACTTTTAACCTCTACAAAAATTACCTCTCTATAGTGCAACCGGTCACTGAAAATGCATGACTTTTAACATCTTCAAAAATTACCTCTCTATAGTGCAACCGGCCACTGCAAATGCATGACTTTTAACCTCTACAAAAATTACCTCTCTATAGTGCAACCGGTCACTGAAAAGATTGACTTTTAACCTCTACAAAAATTACCTCTCTATAGTGCAACCGGTCACTGAAAATGCATGACATTTAACCTCTACAAAAAATTACCTCTCTATAGTGCTGGTCACTGAAAACGCATGACGTTTAACCTCTACAAAATATTACCTCTCTATAGTGCGACCGGTCACTGAAAATGCATGACTTTTAACCTCTACAAAAATTACCTCCCTATAGTGCAACCGGTCACTGAAAAAGATTGACTTTTAACCTCTACAAAAAAATACCTCTCTATAGTGCAACCGGTCACTGAAAATGCATGACTTTTAACATCTTCAAAAAATTACCTCTCTATAGTGCAACCGGCCACTGCAAATGCATGACTTTTAACCTCTACAAAAAATTACCTCTCTATAGTGCAACCGGTCACTGAAAAAGATTGACTTTTAACCTCTACAAAAAATTAGCTCTCTATAGTGCAACCGGTCACTGAAAATGCATGACATTTAACCTCTACAAAAAATTTCCTCTCTATAGTGCTGGTCACTGAAAACGCATGACGTTTAACCTCTACAAAATATTACCTCTCTATAGTGCGACCGGTCACTGAAAATGCATGACTTTTAACCTCTACAAAAAATTACCTCCCTATAGTGCAACCGGTCACTGAAAAAGATTGACTTTTAACCTCTACAAAAAATTACCTCTCTATAGTGCAACCGGTCACTGAAAATGCATGACTTTTAACATCTTCAAAAAATTACCTCTTTATAGTGCATCCGGCCACTGCAAATGCATGACTTTTAACCTCTACAAAAAATTACCTCTCTATAGTGCAACCGGTCACTGAAAAAGATTGACTTTTAACCTCTACAAAAAATTACCTCTCTATAGTGCAACCGGTCACTGAAAATGCATGACTTTTAACATCTTCAAAAAATTACCTCTCTATAGTGCAACCGGCCACTGCAAATGCATGACTTTTAACCTCTACAAAAAATTACCTCTCTATAGTGCAACCGGTCACTGAAAAAGATTGACTTTTAACCTCTACAAAAAATTAGCTCTCTATAGTGCAACCGGTCACTGAAAAGGCATGACTTTTAACCTCTACAAAAAATTACCTCTCTATAGTGCAACCAGTCACTGAAAATGCACGACTTTTAACCTCTATAAAAAAAAAAAACCTTACCTGTGTATAGCGCGAACCTAAGTCTTTGCGAGTAAATAGAGTATGAAACTAGATTGTGGTATACATCAGTGGGTGATGGCTCTTCAACGTCGTGTAATGACCAGCGAGATCTGTTCCTTAGATCAATTGCTACGGAATAATGAGATAGGAACCCCATTCTTTTGGATTTGTACCGCTTAGAAAATTCGTCGTTGTGTGGTACCTTGCATTATTAGAAATATTCATAGAAATATGATTTAATTTTTTTTTTACTCGGTTTATTAAACAGGTTGTTGATTTTTTTTTTAAACGGAAAATAATTGAGTTGAAAATAATTCACTAAGTTGTACTTAGACGATCCTAAGGAAAGAAGAAGGAAGGGGAAAGAAAAGAGGAAGAAAGGGAAAAAGGAAAGAGAGATGGATGATGCATGACCCGGTCATAAGCGAAGATAGGTGTCAGAAAGATATCTTGGCCTGCGTGTTGGCCGAATTTTAAAAGACAATAGAGAATTGTTATTTGAAATGAAAAATCATTTAGAGGAGAAAAAGAACCAGGCTTGATGACAGTGTATTGGCGATAAGAATATCGGTCAAAGCACCTAGCCTATTTTTTGCGTGGAAAGACTCATTGTCAAATTGGAGAAAGGGGAATTTCTTTTTAGAACAATAGAAACGAAATTTTTTTTTAATCGGAGAAAAAAGTGTCTTTTTGGGTTGAGGGGAGGACCGGTGGAACTGTATACAGATTCTGGCCTGTTAAGAATTGGAAACCCACGATAATAAAGTGGGGACATTTTCAATGTAGATAATTAAGATTTTCTGACTGTCGGGTCTGACAAAAACAAGAGGTGAAAAACGATTGTCTCAGCTCACAGATGGCGCCAATATTCTTTCCTGAAGTCACATCTAATTAGCGGCAGGCTGTTTTGACAGAGCCCAGGTGAGAAAAAGCCAAGATTGTCATTTTTCGTACGTGAAAAAGGGCAAAATTAGATTTTGTTTTTAAAACAAGAACGATGTAAGCCACGCCCGATTTGAGATGGAGGCGCCCAACCACAATCTCATTAGCCGAAAGCGGTCACGTGATATGCGGAAAGAAGAGGAAGAATGCTCGATCAGGAACCATTGGTCAAAAAACGGTCACCTGACATACGAGAAAACCGGGAGAGATGGGTGTACGCCTCCCCACCAAAGGCACTGTGAGGAAGTAGGGGGTGAAAACAATAGCGATAATGGGAAACAGAATTAATGCGGCTATTGGAATTATCGAGAAACCCCTGACGCCAACAGACCCACCCCGGTTTGCTGCGGCGTCAATAAAAGCAGGACCCCAGTCGACAGAAATCAGTTGAGTTGAGAGTAGCGGCTGAGTTGCGGCAAGAAATCCTTTCCACCCAAGTCGAAGACAAGAGAATCTTTCCACCCAAGTCGAAGACAAGAGAATCTTTCCACCCAAGTCGAAGACAAGAGAACTTCCAGCCCAAGTAGACGAAGAAGAAGATTACTCGAAAGCCGCAGAGAAGATCCAGCCCAAGTCGAAGACAAGAGAAGTTCTATCTAAGTCGACGAAGAAGAAGAATCAACTGCGAATGATCGATAGAAATTAGCCCCAGTGTCGAGCTAAACCACACCCGACATACACAATTCTAAAGAGTAGGCAATTCGAAATCCTTAGGTTGTGTGATAGAAGCTTGGTGCCATAGTCCACAGAGCGGGTCGGGAATTGAGAACAATTTTGTTTTTATGTAACGGACATTAGATATAAAAGGTTGTTACCCTTTTTATCAGCAATCCTTTTGTCTCGTGAGTTTTTTTTTTTACTTGTGTTTTGCCACCCCCGTCGGACTCAACTTGTATCGGCCCCAATCCCTGCTGGTCCTGTCTGTCTAAGATCTAAACACAGCGTGGGTAGACAGACCGGAGATCAGTACAGTTGCTTCAGTAACCAGGTATTGGAAGCGAGTTGGGAAAGGCGAGGCTGGTGATCATCTAACCAAGGGGTTGGAGCGGCACGCTTGGAACCAGGAGGAGCGACCGGGAGGAACGACGTCACAGTTGGCGCCGTAACCAAGGGATTCGACCCTGGGCCGGGTGTGTAACCGTCACAGATGAGTGCGTTGACGTAGTGTAATGATTAGCAATC